TAGCTCAAACCGTTCTCTAAAAATAAGCGAAAAATTAAGAGCGGTTCTCATATACTGCAAAAATTTGACAATTTTGTATTGTGCGTGAAAACTAAAAACATTCGTAAACTGAGAGTTTTTATGGAAAAGAGCTCAATTTAAGGCTGTATTCTTAATGACTAGGGCTTTGCATCTCCACCGGTTCTCTAAATAGAACCCAATGCTTAAGAGCGGTTCGCATAATCTGCACATATTGTGACTTTTCGCATTTTGTGTGTAAACTAAACTTTGAAGTTTGACCCTTTTAATTTCTAATAACCTAAGAATTAATTTTTTTTGAAATTTAACATAAAACATAACATATTTTCTCTATACAATAAAGAAAAGGATCAGTCCGTTGTGCGGTCTTCGAATACGGCTAGGCTCTAACGATGTGGAAATTCTAAAATAACAGAACATTCCATTAGATTGAAATAAAAAATTGACAGTAAAAGTTCGGGCAAAAAAATATCAACCTTGAAAACAGCTTACCCTGTAATGAATTCGCAAAGATTTGCTACAATTGCCGACAAACATGCAATGAAGACATTGAAAGTGGTTCGATGTAATGATGTGTTTTATCATATGGGTTTGTACATCTTCTTTGGCGCTGCAAATTACATTGCAAAAAATGCACAAATATTTGATCGTTCTGTGGTCCGGCAGGTTTTCAAAGGCGTGAACGCTTTGATGTCTGGTCACAGAACTGAAAAAGATGCGCTAGAGTTAAACGGATTTTTAGATACAACCCACTTTCGGCATTAAAATAAATTGAAAACGTCCCAAACTCGAGGCTCAATCACTGAAACTCTGTGTAAATTTTTACAGAATCTGCAAAGCTTTGCAGAGGACTAAAAAGTTATTCTCACCCTTTCCAGTTCGCTCTATAGGGGCAAAACCGACAGAAAAACTTCCCGAATTTGTTGCATGGACGCTCATGAAGGAGGGTATGTCTGATGATGCCTCCCTTTGATCGAAACTTTGCTGCGCATACATAGCAGCCCCAACATTCCCGCAAAAAGTGACTGTTCCTTGACGCCAACTTGGCCTGGCATGAGCGCAGAGTCAAATCAATGGGCTGGTTTAGATCAGCTTCCACTTGGTAACAATCATCTTCATTTGCATCTACCGGGTTGTACGAAAAAGGAACGTCTGCTTGCCGAAGAGTTTCCACAAATGCACAATTGCCAAAAGTTGGGTTCGACGTTTCCAATGGTGCACAGGCCTGCTGTGCATAGCCATCAATGAACTCGGTCAGCAATTCGGCGTGTATGTGAAATGTGGCAATTTCTTCTTCAATATTGCAGGATTTGTCTTCTTTGGCTGCAGGAGCAGATCCGGACGCTTCAATCTCGAGTTCGCTTGTTCCCCCCTGAAGTTCAGCGTCCAAATCAAAGTCGCTTCTAATCGCTTCAAAGCCCTCATCATTGCCGAAGGTTGTGTCGTTTTCTGCTTCACAAAGCTGCAGTTTGAGATCAGTTTCGACTATGTCCAGGTCCATGCTTTTCACCTCATCGGAAGACAGCGTATCGTCATTGGCGAATATCAGGTCTTCATTGGGCCGATATATCACCGTTTCTTCATCCGAATCATTCAAGTCGATAGTGGGAATAGACTCTTTAGTGAGGTTGATATTGCAGGCGCACAAGCCTTTATTATCTGTAAGCGAATTTTCTTATGAATCCCAACATGAAAGCTGCCGTTACGTTGTACGTCTTACCATAAGTCTGCACAAAATTGCACGGAGCCACTGGAGGAACATCCGTGCCGGGATTGTTGCTCACTGTGAAGTTTGGATAATCTTCCCCAGTGGCAAAATTATACTCCATGTGCCGTATCATATCGAAATTCATCCGCACATGCTCGGTGTTACTTTCCAAAGCCAACACCAGTTTGGAGAAATTCGCATTGGCACGACTGATGTAGCTCTGAAACTTGTGCTGGCCCAAATCGATGGTCTGCTGCTTCTCCCTCTGAATCTGCTCCCTCACGGTCCGAACCTGCACATTCAGCATCACCAACGTGTATATATTGGTGTCGGTTAAGACATTCAGATGACTCTCATGGCAGGCTTGCAGCAAGAAATTATCAATTTGGTTGCATTGTTGCTTGAAGCTGTATATCTTCAAGATCCACGACCAGCAGAAATGGCAAATATTAGTTTGGGCTTTGATGTATTTCTGAAAGAACGTAGATCAACCAAACGGCACTGGCCACCCAACGGACTACCTACAAATGCGGGTATGACATATTCAACAATTTTCTGCACTCGGGTGGGTCCATAGCGAGAGCTCGAAAATATGGACTCTTCGGAAGTGTTAGCTTGAAACGCCAAACAAAAGGCGCAGAACTTGACGCCGGCGGCTCTGGAGAACTTTTGCTGCAGGAAGTCTTTGCGCTGCAGTGGAAACCCACTTTTCACCGTCATCACAAAGTCCAAGTTGGTGTAGCAGTCCTTGCAAAGCCGGATGAAGTTGGTTGCGCCCAAATTCTGCAAGAATTTTGCGTGAGTGAATGTAGTTTGAGCCCATTTTTGGATTTCAATTTTGATTAAGGACAGATGCTCAAAGGGCTCAAAACCTGCCCAAAAAAATTGCACATTGCACATATCAAGTTCACAATTGAACTCCTTATTGAGTTTCTGCAGACTACTGGGGAGTACTGCAATCTTTCTCATCAACATTAGTCATAAACATCATCTAATTGAAAGATAAATTATTAAAAAGGAGCGACAAAGTCCACCACAGCACGTTAATTTGGCCGCTGAAAAACAGGCTGGTGTTTTGTGCATCTTTTATGCTCTTTTTGTTGCTTTTCCTCAAAAATTGCATTACTGCAGCTTTCGACGTTTTTTATAAAAAAAAGAGTTTCCATCGTCGATTTTTTAGCGTTTTGTGTATCCGCTTGAACCAAAGACATCAACACAAATTTGCGCTTTCGAAGCTCTTCAAATCAAGAACTTTTAACTAGTTTCGCCAAATTTTCAATCAGCTATTCACGCAAAAGCCTGTTTCAGACACTTTTGGTCATCAGCATGGAAACTTCTTGTCGAAAGCGACTTTGAAATTATTGAAATTCCGCAAAAAGAGGCAATGTAAATTATTCATCATACTCAAACCTGCATGTCTTTGGCAAAAAAATTGCGCACAATTTTAACATTCGTATCAGACTTACCATCTTAGGAAAGTTATCCAAGATTACCATTCTGGTGACAGGATCGCTGGAAAACATGTAAACCATATCCAGTTCTTCCAAACACAGGCGGCAAAATAGCGCATTTGCGGACGCTTGAAGTGCCATTTTCGAAACGCTTTGAACAAATGCAAAACCGTCCAAGTCGCAATTTGTACGTATTTAAATAGTTCCTGCCAACTAAGTGAACTATTTGGAATACCGTATGCCTTTTTCCGTCCGATATCAGTATATTTATCGTTTTTATGCGTACCAGTTTCTTTTTTCTTGTAAACTGAACTTGCAAATTTTCTAAGTCTGGTTCTTGGTATGGATAAATAATAAAATAACTTGGTAGGGTGAATAAAATTGTTATTGAGTCGAATCTTCATACTAATGGAAGGTGATTCTTTGTAAAGGAGCAGAATATGCGCTTCGTCTCTTTGATGGCACTCTTGTGGAAGCTCTACTATCTGGGAGCGCTTTGGCCAAAGCTGCCGCTTCCAGCACCGCCCGAATAAAACCTCGCAGCTGCTTGTTTTCCTTCTCCAATACAATTTTCTCCTGCACAAGCTCCCTAACATCAACCTCCACCTTATTGTGTACTGTCCAGAAATTTTCCATTTTCTCCAAACTCTCGTAGCACTTGTCCAGGAAATGGTGCTTGATGTCCAAAGCTTCGCTAGGGCTCGTCTGGTAATCCACAAATTCCGATTCTTTTGCATCGATCTTCACGTCGTTGATTGCAATGGGGATTTTAGGCAAAAACGTGGATTTAACTGAAGGTGTAAAAAGGGTGGAAGACGAAGAACGCTCGAGGGTTCTTAGTGGCTTTGAGGCTGGGCGACTTTTTGCCTTTTCTGTCGTCGAAAGGTCGTCCTTGATTTTACCTGAAATCTCCCATCTAATAAACATCTTGATGGCGGGCAAAGGTAGAACTTACTCAATATTTGCTCTTCTTGTAGAACTTTCTCGTACAACTTCTGATCGTCAGTCATGCCATCAAACGTCCCATCTTCCGACGCTTGCTTGCAAGCCACCAAATCAGTCATGGGGAGCCATCTGGTAAGTCTTTCTCGTTCAGTCACGAATTTTTGGCATGTTCCAGATAAAGCCAGCAGATGCCTGCCCTTGGTCAAAAGCACCGATAAATCATCCAGAGTTTCATTAGATTGAGCAGTCAAATTTCGCAACTGCTTCTCATCTAGAGCCAAGTGGGTTTTTAGAGTTTTACGCAGTTTGAGAAACTTTGCCTTCAACTGAGCTTCTTCTGCTTGCAAAGACTTGACTTTGTCGCTTTTCAGCTTCTGGAGACTTTCGTATTCGACAGTCAAGGTTTTAATTAGATCCTAAAATATTAAGGGTTTGTACTAGAGAAGTTCACTAATTGCTACGGGAATAAAAGTAAATTGCCCGCATGTTTTCCGAACTTTCTTCTATTTGTAGCGAATAAATCAGTTTTAGTGGCCCGAATGGGCCATTGCGTTGTCATCAGACTAATTTGTGTTGTTAAATCGGCTACTTGTTGATTTCCTTATGGGGTTACTCGGTTTTATTATTCCATATTTTATTCCTGTTTATTTTTCAATAAAATGCGATGACAACTTTTTCTTTATTGCATGCGGATATTGTTTTTACTGCTGCTGATCGCTCGAATGTAGTAAATTGTTTAAAAATTGCACACCTGCACCAGGAAGCAGATATTTATTAGGAGGAGTTTGCGTAACCCCGATGAAATTCCCAATTACCTCATCTTTTACCAGTCGTTTTTCGTTTTTTTGGACTTCGTCCGAGCTTTCCGCGTCGATCCGACGCAGTTCCGACAAATGGCTCCTGCGGACGTCCGTTTTTCTCACATACAAATGAACAATTTCCAATATTTGCCTCCAAAGAACCGATTCGGTTTCGGCTCGCGTTTTGCACAGAAGGCGCAAAGATGACCGATTCTGCAATCAAATTTTAACAATTAATATTGAGAAAAAATGCATAAAATGATGCTTCATTTCTTTGGATCCAGCAGTTTTAATGCGTACTTATTTGGTTGCCATCAGGAAACAACAATCTTGTGACTTACCGAACGGATATCGAATCTGACAAAGTTAAATACAACAAGCGGACCGCTCTAATTTGCCATAGATCCTATTATTTGTCAAATTAACCAATTAAAACAGCCGTTCCGCTGCTGCCCACCATATAAAACCATATTTCTCGGCGAATTCTTTGAAAACGTCCATTCTGTGGCCGACTTTTCATGTGAACACCCAGCCAGAGCCAAAATGAAGCAGCTTTTCATGGTGGTGCTAACTGCTCTTTGTGCGGTGCATTGTAAGGTGGGTCGACATCAACACAACACAATCAATTAAGAAAATAATGGGGAAACTTGCGCAGGGATTAGAATGTGGATTGTCGAAAATATCCAGCGAGCACTTTAGGAAAATCGCCTCCGAGTGCGTGAAGGACAATGAAACGCTCAACCGAATATGGGAGCTCACCTCCGAGGCGTCGATGGACGACGAGTCTGCATCATCTGATGAAGAAGTTCCGATCACCCAAGGCAAGGAAGCTCCCAACTTAGGTAGGGCGATTTTTTAGCGAAAAATCTGTCTATGTGTGAAACCCTTCCAGATCTCGGCTCGTCGGCACAAAAGAGCATGAAGATGAGCAGGGCGAGCAGAACGAAAAGATCGCGCAAAAGCTTCAACAACGAGTCCCCGATGTCCCAAAGGAAACCCTCTCCAACGTCGACCACCACCGAACAAACCACCACAATTCAAAGCGAAGAAAACGAAGACAACGCGGACGCTAATAATGTTGAAGAATCAGGGGAAGTCTGCATTTTGCAGTGCATATTTGAGAAGCTGGAAATGGTAAATCGTGTTTCGCTATCATCCACCATCTTCTTCGTCTAACGACGACGGGCTATCATCCATTGAACTGTTGCTTCGGATACAAATCACTTCTAAAAATGCCAGAAAACGCCAGAACAATCTCCAATTAATTGTTCATAATTGTTCTGATTTGCAGACGGACACCAACGGCCTTCCGGACCACAAAAAGTTTGCTGCCGCATTGGTAGAATCGGCCACCGGCCGAGAAACTCGAGATTTCCTACAGGACTCCGTTGATGAATGCTTCCAGGAAACCGAAGAAGGTAAGCTTGCGTTGAAGCAGCAATAAGTAGCACTGAATCCGCTTCATATTTAGGGGACTTTGAGAACTCGTGCGAATACTCCACAAAACTGGTCACCTGCCTTGCAGGAAGAGGAAAGTCCAACTGCGCGGATTGGCCCGTTGGAGACTTACCATTTTAGGTCGCTTACCCGTTTTTGATGTGAATCTCTTATTAGTAGCAGTTACTGTTTGTTCTAGTTAGTTGTTACATGCATTACCAAAAAGCCATTCAAAGTCTTTGCTCTCAACTCACGTTGTACTCCACTTCATAGAGCCGCTTGCTGTATGCTTCCCAGCTCTCTTTCAGCAGTTTTTCCGAAACAGTTGCCTGCCCATAAGCAACAGTCTTGAGGTACAAAACTTCGGCATTTGAGTGATCTTGCATCAAGTTCTCCTCTGCCTTGGCTTGCTCGATGAGGCCATCCAGTTCTTCTCGATAATCCGACTGCAGCTTTTCTATGTGGCCATTTTGGTGCTCTGAAACAGATCGACAGTGACTAGTTTCAGCAGACACTATCTTTCGATGCCTCACCAATTATTTCATCCAAGTGCCGCGAATGGGAGTTGAAGTTATTCATATACTGCTCCTCTGCATCCTCCAGTTCTTCCATCAGTTTGGCTATTCGATTGTTCTTGTTCTCCACCAGCCTTTCAATCCAGGCCTTCAGATACTCCACGTCGCTCTTCATTTCCTTTACCTTGATGGTCCTCATTATTTGGTGCCAGTTTTGGTTGATTTTGGCCAAGTTCAGGCGAGCAAATGCTTCTTCCTTCTTGATTTTTTTCTTCATGAAAATGGCAATCAATTGCTCTTTGCGCCTTTTCGCTTCTTCCTCCATTTCAGCCCTGTGCTGCAGGTAGCGCGCCCGTTCTTCATCGGACATTTTCGCCAGTTTGTTGGCCAGAGATTTCTTCTTTTTTCCTGCCATTTTGCTTGGGCAAAACTGAACTGTGCATGTTAGTTGCAGTGCGAGGCCAACAAGGGGTCGTTTGGGAGCTTGCCATGGTTTTATTGAACTAACTTTTCAGTGTTTGACGGGGATGGGACAAAAACCATGGAGTGTACATAAATAGAGATATATTGTATAATATCTTAGCCCACAGAAATGCCCATTTAGTAAGCATGCGATAAGTCCAAACGAAAACATTGTTTTTGTCGCTTGTAACGCTCTCGCTTTCTTTAGCGATTAGCAATTTTGCATGGTTCATCTGCAGCGAGATTTCTGTTGCATTAACAGAGCCACACTTAGTTATTGCGTTCAACTTGCTACAGATCGGCAAACGATCACAACGGCAACAGTTACATTTTCAATAACAAAACCAATCCAATCTAAGGAAAATTAGTCAAGTCACATCTACTTTGGCCTCTTTAAAACTCTTTAAACTGCCGGTTCTCAATGATACACAAGCTGCTACTGATTTGAAACTGAAACTTCAGCGTACTACGACGGGTTCACATTAAAACATTGTTTTATATAATATGAATAAATGATGTCTGATTACAAATGCACAACGAAGCTTAAAGCTAAATGCGAGCCACTGGTGTGCGGTTCAAGGAAACGTAAGTTTTAAGGAAAGCATTGGGTAAATTGGTTATAAGTGGTGGGTTAAGACATTATGTACATTTCTAGGAAAAACACTGGAGAATCGAAATGTGCTTTCTGTTAGCTGATATGTGATGGTCATATCGATGATAATTGAATTCGCATTTTCCACTATGCTATGATTGTTGAGCGATTGACACACTGTGATTATCATTAGCTGTTTTATTCAGCAACTAGTAACACTCAGTAAAGGGGATTTTCACGTATACTCTCTTATAGGTAAAGATTAACAAGGATAAAATTGTATCAAATTTCGTCATAAGATTTAATGGTCGAAATCTGCAGTGCGCAACCGAAAAAGCATAGAAACATTCATTTCAGCTTTAATTCGTGGATGTTTCTATGCTTATATACTTCCAGTCGAAGCAGCGCTCTTCATACTGTCCAACTTCTACTTGTTCGTTAAAAATTGTACTTTTCTGCATCGGTCTCTCATTTGGCGGAAACATGCAGAGGCCAATGAATCGCATCTTGTGTCGAAGAAGACGTTTGTTTGAATCACCCAATCAGCAATTGATTGAACGCAGTTTTTTTGGCTCAGGAAAATTGCCTTTTGCATGCGGCAGCATTCTAGATTTAAGTGAGTTCCTAAGTGATGCAAACAAACCCTGGAAAAGGCAGGAGGCAAATTATTAGAGTCTATCAGAATGAAAAATTGTCCAGAAAAT